TCGATCTTTAGAGAGTGTAGAAGAAAAGAAGAGAGTGCAGAAGAAAAGAAGTCAGAAATGAAAAGTGTGTTTTTTGGGAGTGCTAGAGCGCTCTATTTATAGGCATCAGGCGTCGCCAGAACAACCTGTTTCAAATCCAGAACGGCCCGTTCTGGGGTTGCATTTAACTCACAACAGCCATATTTGGAACGACCCATTCCCAATTAGGGTTATAGGCCTTTTTAGTAGTTTGGAACAGCCCATTCCAGTTTGGGAACGACCCATTCTGAACTATTAAATCACCCTCGTTTTAGTAATTTGGAACATCCCGTTTCAATTTAAGAACGGTCCGCTCTGAACTACTAAATCACCCCTATACATTTATGAAAATTACTAAATTACCCTCAATAAGAATATAAAAACTGGGGTGTTATAAAAAAAAATCTTAAATATTTTGAATTAAAGTATAAATAAATTTGAATTAAGTCAACTATTATTTAACATTCTTAATAAAAAAAAATATTTTTAAAACAATAAATGATAATATTATCTATAATAAATATGATTTATATATATATATATATATATATATATATATATAATATACTCTTTTTATCCCATAATAAATATCATCTTAAATTATTTTTCACATATAAATATTAGAGCTAATATGTGATGGGCATGATGGCATACTCATGTGGGGTTGGTGTGATGTAGGTGGCGCAAGATTGGCATGCAGGTTAGTGTGATCATGTTAAAAGAAATAATTTAAGGAAAAACAATAAAATTATAAATTAAGTAAACAAACCAAACTCAAGTATTATTTAATGATAGAGTCCAACCTTTCAATTAGACTCATTTAAATAAACGAAACAAGTTTGAACAATCAATTCTTTCTAAAAGCTAAGTCCAAACAATTTCAAAAGCTGGACTTGTTTATACTTCCTAAATAGGAGTATGATGCAATCGGTCGCTAAATTGCAAAAATTGGTTGCTATTTATTTTAGTGACCGAATTAGCGATTGAATTTAATCAGTCGCTAAAACTCTAGTTGCTAAGCTATTTAGTGACAAAAAAATTTTCGGTCGCTAATTTGGTCGCTAAATGGTTGAAATGGCCTTGGTCGCTGAAGTGTATGGGACCAAATTAGTGACTGAATAAATCGGTCGCTAAATCGGTCGTTAAATATTTATTTTTTATTTTATTAAATTTTATAGACGTCGCAAATTTGGTCGCTACGAACCACTCATATTTGGCCTCTTAAGGATTTTATTTCACAATACTTGAGTTTTTAGCATGTTTTGTCTTTAATTACACAATTTTTGGAAAATTCCCAGAAGGTCACCTATCCCATATTACTCCAAGTCAAACACGCCTAACTGTGAAGTTCTTATGAGATAAGCTACCAAAAAGCAAATGCATGTTATTAGTATAAGTAGTACAAATTAATTCATTTAAGTCATCCTCAACTATCCAATCTCATACTTAGATTATTTTTAGATACTTATCATTTTGGTATATCCGGACGTTATAAATATATAATAATTATATTACTAATAATAATTATTATATTATGTTTAATTAATCTTTATTTATATATATACTTACTTTTATAATTAACAATCTACTTATTTCTATTTAAAATTAATTTTATGATACAATTTAAATTATTTATTATAAATTTAAAAGTTTAAGTAATAATTTATATATTTTAAAATGAGAAGGGTTATAATAACACTGGTATAACTTTTACTAAGTATTACACCGCTCAATAACTTTATATTAAATGTGAATTTTGTAAATCCAACCGATAGATTGAAAGTTCATATCACTTTATATGTTTATATCAATTTTTGTTAAAATTAAACAACAACTTAAAAGTAATCAAAGTGCTCATATTTTATTTGAAATGAATATATTACGTCAATTTTGTTTTACAAGAATGAAGTATCAAATCATCTTGAATTCATATAAAATTTTGTATATATGATCTAAGAGTAAAAAACTTTCAATCTAACGGTTAAATTTATAAAATTCACATTTAATATAAAGTTATTGAGCGATGTAATACTTAGTAAAAGTTACACCGATGTTATTATAACCCTTCTCTTTTAAAATATTATTTTTATAAATTAAATTTTAACATTTTAAATAAATTATTAATTAACTTAATATATTTATTCATCTTAAATCTAAGATATAAAATTCAAAAAATGTATTTATCCTTGTTTTATTTTCTAATTATCAACCATTAATAAAATATTAATTTAAAATTTAAATATAAAAATTTATTTAAAAATAAAGTTATCATAAGTTAGAAATATATATTATAAATATGGATCAAAATAAATAAGAAATTTTAAAATTCATATACTCTAATTAAAAAACTGCCTAAAAATCCAATTGTAAAAAAAAACTTTAAATATTTTTTACATAAATAACTATTGGTATTAATTATGTAGGAGTGCATACAAATATTTTTTTTATTATAAATTAATGTCTCGCTCTTACAAAAAAAAAAGAAAATGGGATTGATACTCAACAACAATATTATCCTCACTTTTAAGCAATTTATAAATTTTTTTAAGTTTTACTTAGTGACCGAATATAATTTTGTCGCTAATTTTATCTAATATTTAGCGACCGAATAGAATTTCGTTGTTAATTTTAACTAATATTTGGCGACCGAATAGAATTACATCGCTAATTGTAACTAATATTTAGCGATCGAATTTAATTTTGTCGCTAAAAAAATCAAAATTTCTGATTTAGAGACCAAATTCAATTCCGTCACTAATTTTAACAAATATTTAGCGACCGAATTTAATTCCGTCACTAAAAAAATCAAATTTTTTGATTGAGCGACCGAATTGAATTAGGTCGCTAAATTTAAGTACTATTTAGCGACCGAATTCAATTTTGTCGCTAATTTTAACTAAATCTCGCTAAAATAATCAAATTTCTAATTTAGCGACTGAATTCAATTATATCGCTAATTTTAACTAATATTTAGCGACCGAATTCAATTTCGTCGCTAAATTTAACTACTATTTAGCGACCGAATTCAATTTTATCGCTAATTTTAACTAATATTTAGCGACCGAATTAAATTTCGTCACTAAAAAATAAAAATTTATAATTTAGTGACCGAAATAACGATTGAATTCAATTCCGTCACTAAATTTAACTAGTATTTAGCCACCGAATTCAATTCCGTCGCTAATTTTAACTACTATTTAGCGATTGAATTAAATTTCGTCGCTAAAAAAATCAAAATTTATAATTTAGCGACCGAATTCAATTCTGTCGCTAAATTTAACTTTTATTTAGCCACCGAATTCAATTCCTTCGCTAATTTTAACTAATATTTAGCCACCGAATTAAATTTCGTCGCTAAAAAAGATCAAAGTTTATAATTTAGCGACCGAAATAGCGACTGAATTTAATTTTGTCGCTAAAAAAATAGAAAATTATAATTTAGCGACCGAAATAGCGACTGATTTTCTAGCGACGACTTATTTTGGTCGCTAAATCGGTCGCTATTTTTGATTAGTCATGATCGATCGCTAAATCGGTCACTAAATAGCGACTGATAAATTTCGGTCGCTATTTTGCAATTTTCTAGTGATGATGTTCTGGTATATGAAGAGAATATCATTATAAATAGGCAACTCTATAAAAAATTAATAAAGAGAGAGACAATTGTTTCTTCTTTTTTTTTTCTTTCAAAAAAACATAATAATGAGAGGGAGATAATTTTTTTTCAAAAAAATCATTAATAAAGTCATTAAATGTTTACTTATTTTTCATCATCAATTAAAGTTTACTCCCTTCAATTTCAAATAAAAAGTAATAGTAGTATTTTTTACTGAAAAAAATTAATTAAATTAGTTAATATCATTTAATTTCATTAATCTTATTTTAAAAATTAACTTATTTTTTTAGAATATTCTTCCTTAAAACTTGATATCAAGAATAAAGATAATTATTAGAAATACAAGGATCAAATAAAGAGATATTTTGTGGAAAATAATATTAAATATAATGAAATTAATTAGAATTTAATTATATGTGAGACAAATGATTATTTATTTTTGTGCTTATATTCGAAGTCACGAGAAAAAGTATTAATTATGGTTGTAAAAAAATCATTTATTAATTATTCATTCAATTAATTTTATTTAAGTAACTATTTATAATTTTATATCTAGCAATAAATATTTGATAATATTTAGTGTTAATAAATATTTTTTCAAAATTTAATTAATATTTATGCAGTAATGTAAATGTCAATTTAGGATATCACAATAAATAATTTGATTAATTTTTATTTTAACATTTATTAACATTTTTTAATACCAATTATGAAGTTTGACGTTAATTATATTTAAATTTATATTTTCTAACTACTATAAAAAATGTTACATGCAGTGACATATAAAAAATGTCATTATAGATATAATATATATAATTATAAATCTATTTAACATATACTTACACATAATTTTTAGTATTAATTTTGAATGAAATTCAATAACATATATTGTATGGAGTCGGTGTGGAGTCAATGTGGCAAGATGCCTTGAAAAATTCTTAGTCATGGGTTCGAGGTCGCTGCAAAAATTTAACTTTCTCTTTTTATGAATAGGTTACACAACCAGATTATTGTATCAAAAGTCTGCTAAGGATTAGGGAATTTTAATCTCTAGTAACTTATCTATTTGTGATGTTTAGGGCGAGGTTCTTTTTCTGCATTACTCATTATGTTTTGCTTTGTGTAGTAAATGCTTTAATCTGTACTGATAATATTGTAAACTCTTTTGATCACTCCTTGTGATTAAAAGAATATTTACTTGTTGAATGATTTTTTTCCTTTTCAAAAAAATTTTTTAACAATATACTAACATATATATATATATATTATATTTATAATATATAAAATTAGTTTTTAGTAACAAGTGATGTGTCACTATAAAGTATATATCATTACATGATAATTATTTTGTAGTGGATAAATATAATGTCCATATATGACTGAATTATTTTATAAGACAGGGAGCTTCCTGAGCTATAAAATCCTTCCTTGAGTCTCTGTTTCGATCAGAAAAGCAAAAATGGCTGAAGGAAGAAGCATTGCATTAATGGTATTGTTGTGTATGTTGGTGCTTTATTCTGAGATGGTTTATGCAGAAACCTACGTGGTTGGGGATGCAGCTGGTTGGACCTTTAATAGCAGTCAATGGCCTAATGGAAAGAGTTTTAAGGCTGGAGATGTACTAGGTTCGTATCATTTCTTGTTCATTTTTCTTTAAAGATCATACCTTGTCTTGTTTATTATATACTCACATATTAAATTTAAGAAACATTTATTCGATTCCTTATACATACGTTTAAAAGTGTTTAGGAGTTAAACTAATGTGTGAACTTTCAATTGATCCACTCTTTATTTTACACTACTAGAAAAGTGTTATTTTCTACGAATTTTCCTATAAAAAAAATATTATTTTTTGTGACTTTTCTTGGAATAATAATTTCACAAATTTTTTTTACGAATTTGTTTGCAAAAAAATAATTTACAGATATTTCTTACAAATTTTTTTATGAAAAATAATCTACAAGGAATTTTTGCAAATTTTGCTACAATTTTAATGATTATACAAATTTTTTTGTATGGTAAAATTTTTTAGAAAATATTGTAAAAATTTTATTTTATTTCTTACAAATTTTCTTGCAAAAACAAATTTACAAGTAAATATTTAGTAATATTTACTAAATGGTAAAAAAAAATTGTAGGTAACTTTTCCTGCATATTTTCTTGCCAATTTTAATATGCAGTAATATTTACATATTGATTTGTATGATTGAGTGTTAGACTTATAATCTACAATTTTTGAGTTTAAAAGATTATGTATTACATGTTGGAGGCGTGGAAACAAATGTTTTGGATGAATTCATTGTGAAAAAATTTGAAGAAAACTTTCCCGCGATTTTTTTTGCAGAAAACTTTTCTGCAATTTTTTTTCGCAAGAAATTTCGCAAAAGAATTTCTTACAAATTTTAAAATTCGCAAAAATATATTATCCACAAAGATATTATCTGCAGATAAAATTTCGCAGAAAAATTCGTAAGACTAGTATTTGCTGCGAATTTTAATACAAAATTTGCAAAAAAAATCGCATGTAATAAAAGAAATTGTAGTAGTGTTATTTACTTTAACTTATCTGATTTAAAGATCTAAATTTTGTTGTTATTTGAATAGAAATATGGACCTAATCCATTCTAATTTGATATTCTTTGCTTTGAGTAACTTATTTTAATCACATCTTAATTACATGTTCTAACTATTGTTTAATTAAAAAATGAGTGTTTACTTTTATATTTGTGATTTTTTATAATTATATTATCAGTATAAAATACTTACTAACTTTTATCGATGGTCGACAATATTAATTTCTATTAAAAAATTTAACTTATCACTTAATCTTATTTAAAATAATCGAACCCTATACCACATCAATAATGACTTATTAGTAATTTGTGAATCTAATTACATAATTTATTGACGCGACATTTTATTTTTGGTTATTTCTTATATGTTTATTTATTAATTAATTATTTAATTACTACTTATAATTACTTTTTAAAAGCAAGATAAATTTTATTTTTTTATTATTCATTTGGTTCGAAAGAAGGAAAGTGAAAGTGAAAAGCAGAAATTTAATATTTGAATTGGAAAAAGTAAGGGAAGGAAAAAAATTAAAATTTTATCTCTAAAGAGTCTTTTTTTTTCTCTTTATTTTCTGTCTAACCAAACAAAATTGAAAATATCGTAATTTTGGTTTTTTTTATTTTCTTTTCATTTAACCGAACAAAATATTATATTTAAATGCTTTTTATGCAAATTATTAAAGTCAGCTTAATATTTAGAGGTAGAGGGTTAAATTGATGAATGAATTCGATTTTGTTATGGTTATAATCTTGTGTATTGGTAAAAAGAAAAGAATATTTTTGATAGACATGTCTCATTATTGTTTTATACATGCAGAATTCCATTATCCTCCATTGATGCATGACGTGGTGCAAGTGGATGAGTGTGGATACAACACATGCTTTCCTATATTAGGAAGATCAACTTTTCATTTGTCAGGAAATGATCGCATCGTTCTTTCTCAAGGAATGAACTATTTCATCTGCGCCGTTCCTTTTCACTGCCTCCAAGGAATGAAAATGGCAATCAATGCTGCATGATATTATAATAAATACTTATAATTATCTATGTATTTTCTTATGCATTTCAACACCTTTTCTTTTATATTTTAAATTTACCCCTCTTTTTTGAACATCTTGAATGAAGATACATATCATTCTATTTAGATGAATGCAAAAGAAGGGTGAAAAAAATATGTGCTAATGTATGTTTAATAAGGACGACTTCTATTTTAATAAATGAGAAGTATTTATATCAATTTTTTTTAATTTTTAACCATAATTATATGATTTTAATTTGTAAATTTTAATAATATTAATTTATTTTATAAAATTAAAATTTAGTTTCTTTATTAAACATTTAACACAATATTTTGATGTGATAATTGATGATGATAATGACACTAATGTCACAACTTTAGTATAGTTATTATACAATAATTTGATATTTACATCGTATTTTAGGTCTTACATAGCATTTTTATGAAGAAAAGAAAAAAATTTCTTAAAAAACACATAAAGGAAAAAAAGAATAATGCTTGTTTTCATATGTGTAAGCTATTTAAAATCTTTAGTATCAAGTTTGATTATGAATCTCTAATGGGTATTAGATTTATTACGCATCTTTTGAAAACCTATAGTTTTTGTAGAAGAAAAACTAGAGAAAACCACTAAGGAAGATGCAAAATAGTGGTTGAAGTTACAAGAAGCACGTTGAATTGTGAAATCATCACTCTAGGTATGGGAGAGTGAGATTATTGCATTCATGTGCATATATGAGAAATAAGGGTAGAAAAGCAATCCTTAAACCTCTTAGGTTGTTGATTTATTTGCTATGGATCTTTATGTGCATGTTCTGAGGTTGAGTTATTGTATTGTCCTTATAATTTTGTACATGAATTATAATTGAATTAATCTAATGATGAGTTGCAATGTTTGAGGGTTAGTAATATGAGATTTGGGGTTTTTGAGTTTATTGGATGTATTATTTAGGAATTTGGTGTGATTTATTTAATTTTAAAAAAAGTTTGTATGAATACATCTCAATATTTAGATGATTTTCTTTGTGAGATTAACCAAATAGTGTTTCATTTCTTAAGTTAAAAAGTAGACATTTGAGACTTCAGTTTAGACTTAAGAATTACATAAAAAATATTAATGAACGGTCAAGTTATGTTAGTCATAAGATGAGCTTCGCATTTCATGCACAAAAAGTATTGTCTAAACATTGTAAGCCTTGCAAGAACCCTTATATAATCGAATTAGGTTTCTTTGTATTCATAAGAGTTGTAGCCTTTAATGTTAGCTTTTCAAGAACACTAAAATTACCCAAAAAAGAGGTTTAGAATTAACATTATGATCAAATTAGTGAACAAATGTCAAGTTGTAAAAATTAGGCTAAAATAATAGGCTTTTGTAATTTCTAAAAATAGTAGATGGTAAAATAAATTCTTAAGATCAAGATAAAAATTGTATTTTATGGAGAAAAGACAGATACTAGAAGGAGAGTTAAAGAATGTATATTAAAAACTTGCACAATTTCAAATATGTGAAGTAGTATCTACAATAGACAAAGAGTCAGAAAGAGTAATTAATGAACATAAAATTTTATACTAATTCATCTCAACCACCAAGACTACGTCCAATTCTCAATCAAACCAGATTGAGTTCTACTAATTTTCAACAAAATTACTTGTATTCTTTTATCAAGTCACTTTTGGCTTAAATAAGTGTTCTTTGAATAATGTCTTCATATCATTACCCAGACTTTACTTTATAACAATGGTTATGATAGTATTACAAGGTTGCAATTGTTATTTTTTTTAAACGTGATTACAACAAATCATTTAAGTACAAGAAAACTCAAGAAGAAGATTTTCTAAAAGATGTGTATTGTATCTCAAGATTTTTCTATATTTCCACTTCTATTATTGAGCTCCATAGCTTCTTATATAATAGCTTTGAAAGAGATGATCATTGCAGCTTCTTGAGTTTAATTCATAGAGTTGTTTCGTCTTACTCTTTCATCTAATCTTTAGAGAAAGGAAGTATCCGTTGGTGCATTAAAAGCTTCAATTAATGCCTTTCACCTAAACGTACTTCTTATCTTTGATAGATCAAGCTATTTATCTGAGCAAAGTAGCAAAGTATGAACAGTAGGAAGCAAAGTCAGCGTGTAGGCGAGAATATAGTCCTTTTCCTGCGCCTTTTCCGTGAAATCCAGAATCTTTGTCCTTTGTTATGTTACTCTTAATGCTTTTATACACTTTTAGCAAAATGTGAGTTCCAAGACAACAATTTTCAATCTGTTAAAGCATGAAACATTCATTTGAACATTTAAAATCATCAATCACAATAAATAATGATCGATAGGAACAATTTGTATGCTTCGTTTAATTTGCTTCACCTTACATACTCTACTTCGTCTTACACAGTTTTAAACAACAACTTTTACAAAGTATTTTTTTACTAAAATGTGTAATGTTTGTTATCAGTAAAACTTATAAACATGGTGGATCTAAGATCATCTTTTGACTTAACATATATAACTATCTTAGCTTTCAAATAAAATTAATATCAATTTGATAATATAGGTACATTTCTTAATAATGCGTTTAAACCACATAATGTCCTAGAAACGTAAGATAAGAAGAGATAGTTTATGAGTTGTAATGGTGTTATTTTATTCTTTAAGTGTTTAATCTTAAGATCTTGTGCCTACATGTGATATGAAATGTGGATGTTCAACTTGATAATGGTGTATACAATGTTTGAGACATTTATGAATGATATTATAATGTTATAATATATGATAAATGAATAATATGAGTAATAATAATGTATAATGTTATATTGTGTGAAGATGTTTCAAAAGATGAACTTAAATCCCTCAAGTTATAAAGTTTTAATAATAACAAATAAAAACATTTTTAGAGAAAATATTTTAGATCATTCAATAAAATGAATGTTCAATATAAGATTAGTACTCTGTATGAGACGAATGTACTAAGACAATCTATTATCTTTACATTAAATGTCTAATAGATGAAATACTTCATATGTAAAATAGTTACTCCAAATCAATGCATTATTTATGATATCTAACAATTAAATCGATCTTTGTGTACGTAATTCCTTAGCAAATCAAAGTAAAATAGTTTTCTCCATATTCACAATAACAAAAGAGAAGGAGGACATGTTTTTTTTATCAAAAAAAAGGCAAGTAGATTGAATCATGGAAATCCTAAAAAAAGTTGTTTTGAATTGACACGGGCATGATTTCACCTTTTTAGTGCCTAAAAGATGATGAGTAGTTTTCTTAATCAAATAAAAAGTGATAATTTAGTGAAATACATTTAATTTTAGCAATTAATGCATCAACAAACACTTCTTTTTATAAGGAGCAAAAAATTGAAGATGAACGAAGCCTATGAAGGATACTCCTATATAATTGAGTTCTTAACACATTCTTCTATCCAAAATTAATTACTAGTGTTTCCTTTGAAATGCTCATTTTTATTCATTACTGTTTTATACATAACATGCAGAATTCATTTATAGTCCATCGTCTCATAACGTGATGGTAGTGGACGAAGTAGGATATAATTCATGCAATGCTTCAGCAAGCTCATAAATGTATCACTCGGTAAATGATCACTTCTAGCTGGTCCCGGGATACATTAGCACTTTTCTTGAACATTGTGAGGATCGGAGGAAAATTGCAGTCAATGCTGCTTCACATAAACTTAGTTAATTATCCATGTGTTTTGTTAAGTTTTTGGCTATTTGCATACCATTTTGAATGAATGCAGAAAGTTCAAATCTCGCATGGACACGCCAACTTACACTCAACAAATAAGAAAATTACAACTAGAGAGGGAAAGTCAATGGTTCATTCGAGATAGAGGTCGAGGTGTTCAACTCTTCCTTGCCTTGTTGCAGAGCATTGTAAACCATGTGATGATGTTAAAAGGGTCGTAAAAGATGGTGCAAAATCTGAGGCGAAAGGTTCGGAGGGGTTGGTAGAAATCATGGCAGAGTAAGAATGCGTACACAGACTGAACAAAGAGGGAATAAGTCTTTTTCCTGTTGTCGTAGGAGGAGTTGTCATCGTGGAAATCGAAATGGAACGTGGGAACTGAGCACCAGAGAGGTTCCATCGCTTAGAAAGAAGGCTTGTTGCAACAAATGCTTTGGTTGGGAGGAAAGACGGAATGTGACAAAGGACTGCAATTGGCAAATTACTGATTCTATCAGCCATCCTGCATGCACAGCTCGGCAATCGGCATCCAATGAAACTCGAATCTTCACTGCCCATTAATGCTAACAGGGCTTTTATGTTTGCATCGGAATTGATGTTCATGCACTTGTCATGGGAATGATAAACGTCACGATTCACGAAGTACTTACAATTGTTTAACAGCTGCAATTATGGACATGCAATAATGGACACCCAATAGTGGCCACATTGCTGCTAAAAATTGTGTTACCAGCAAAACATGAAACTTTTTTGGAAGTATGAAACTATTGTGGAAGTAACACCTGAATTTTATTAGAAATTAGTAAAACCATTCATGATTCCTCCAATAGCTAGCTAACTTTGGTATAGTTGGTTCGTGATAAACTTTACCTGATGTGCAAACAATTTAAAAAATGGCATTGAGATATGATTACTATCTTTACCATTTATATTGCTAACAGTAATTACATGAAATTTCTGCACTTTCAAAAAAGTCATAACCCCACATTTCAAAATGGATCCAAAGAATAATAGAATAAGATCCAGGATGACCGTCTTTTTTCTCTGTGAGTACTGAGTAGCCAAAAGGCTAAAGCAGCTTAGTTTCTAAAATATACTTTCATTCAACGCCATTATGCAGTGGAAATCACAGACTTCACCTAGTTAAGTCTCACTATTTTGTTGAAGGAACTGAAGGTCTTTCATTTGTAGTTCCACAGCGTCCTTTGGCAGAGGCTTGAGATCTGAAACATAATCCTCATCAACTCCTGCTGCTACTCTCTCTGCCTTGTCTTTGACAAGGCGCTGGACCTCTTCTCGCTGAACCGATGGGAAAACAGCACTAAGCATTGCAGTCAGCAGTAGCTGGTCTTCTTCCTCAAAAGAGTCCTTTCCAAAGCAACATACATAGATAGCATCAAGTGCCTTGCCAGCTCGAATCTCCATAGGTATAGCAGGAGGTTCAGCCTTTAGCTTTGCCCGTCTCTACAGCATTGAATATAATTTGAGTTATTAGGGTAGTGTCACATGGATAAAACATAGTTTCAGTATAATCAAAGCACCAAGCATACAAGTGGAGCATTAGTGACACACGGAGGAAGAATATCTGTCATTTGTCCAGCTGATAACATATAGTACTTCTTACAACACAAAATGAATGAAAACTTATCTGGGAGAATCCCATTGTGATGGGGATTTATCATTACTCCTTGAAAAGTTAGTTAATAGAATCCTAATCTTTAGACCATTCCTATTAATAACGAATATGCATCTTTATTATGTCAATATATATGGTTGGTACTTGGTGGTATCTGACACATTATGGCGACTAGCTAATTAATGTCCCAGCAGAGCAGCAAACTAAAAGAAATGAATACATATTTGCCTTGATCCAAAGGCAATTAAATGTATCGTTGGGAAGGCCTCATGTTACAGACAATAGAATGACCTTTATATACAAAACACACTGAATGACAACGCAATGGTGCAAGGTAAGTTTCTCTGTTTTTACTATGCCCAGGCAAGAATGTCCCAACTCCCAAGACAGGCTTGATGATATTAACAAAGTTTTTTTGCCATTGTGATAGAAAAAAATTGTCTATATCTAAGAGAGTATGATTTAGATTTGGGGTAGAGAAAACATTATTTTTGGTAACGTAACACACATTAATGACTCCCCCAAACAAGAGAACAATGATAGATAACCCTGAAAGAGACCTTTGAATCACTATTTATTTTCAGTAATTTCCTTAATGTCAATAAGTACATGAGGAATGGTGTTTAATGTTTATAGAGTTTAGACCTTAGACAATATATTTTGGAATGACTCAGTCAGTTAATGGAAACTGATAGAGTTCCACTTCAGATGCAACGTAGTATTAAAACTGAATAGAGACCAACCTCCTTTGCCTCGCTCATCAAAGCCATGAAATTTTGCTCCTCAAATTCAATGTCATTTGAGATCCGGAGCCTAGCCACACCTTCCAGAATATCCTCAGTTTTGAGAAGACCTGCACCAATAGCTGCTAGCCAACAGCATAACAGAACATAGAGAGGATCCCCTGCCTATCCACAACAAACCAACACCAAACTAAGTCACACATCCATTCCCCTTTAGCACACCAAAACCAAAACACAGATAAATCAACCTCATCAACACTCAAACTTGATTACCAATCTCAATATATTCTAAACTCATAAAAATTGAGTTTTGAGCGTGAAATCAACCTCCTTAACTTTAACCACAAAACCCAAGAACCAAAGTTAACTATGGGCTGTCACTGAATTAATTATAGAACAAAACTTAGATAAAATTGCTCAAGTAATTCTAACATCACTCTAACCAAAATTGAAGTTTAACCTTGATAACCATATGATAAAAGTTTGCATTAAACATCTTCAAGATGAAATTCTAATTCTGACAAGAGAAAAACACTAAAAGCAGCTAAAATCACCTATTAGTTTTTGTATATAATCTTGTGTGGATAAACTTCTTCACAAACACATTTTAGAAGAAAAAATAAAATAAGTTTCTTTATAAATTAAAATTAGCTTATACAAAAATTAATTAACTAAAACTCATTTTTTTGTCGATATTTTTATTTCAACGATGATAAATGATTGTGTGATAGTGAAAAACACTTTATTCATTATTAGTGAATTACTCAAGCTTAATCAATTTTAAGGCTCCAAAGATAATTTTGACATGAGCATGCAATGTATGAGCCTCGAGGAAAATGAGTGATCACTACTCACTCACCCGTCCTCGTCGTTCCTGGAACTGATAAAACGCGGTGGAGTCAGCGTCGGAGCACTTCTTGCCGACGCGCCTCCGGAACTCGGCGAAGTCGACGAGGTCGTCGCCGACGCCGCCTTCGTCGCTGAGGATCCTGGCGAGGAGGCCGACGACGGGGAGCGCGCCGATGACCCTGTTGGCGAAGGTGGCGAAGGAGTTGGGGCTCTCCATGTAGGCTCCGACGGCGAAGCGCGCGACTCTGGTGGCGGCGGGGTGGACATGGTGGCGGCGGCGGAGGGAATGCGGAGAGGAGAGTTTGGAGGAGGAGGAGAGGCTGAAGAAGGTGTGAGCTGTGGTGAGAGATGAGAGTGGTGAAGTGGACTTCAACACCACCATTGTTGGGTTAGAGGTTGGTTTGTGGCCTCTCGTTTATATATGTTATGTTATCCACTTGGACTACCATGAGAGAAAGGAAATATCAACGTTCCACTCACTCCCATCCCATGCTTAATTACATTTATAAACGTCCTCAATTTTTGTTTCATAGATATAGATACTAAACTTTTTAATTATGTAAAGTTTAATACCTTAATTAGTGGTTTTATTTTAATATATATATTTTAAGTAGTTATTTAAATTAAAAATTGTAATTGAGTCTATAATTTTTTTTAATTTTTAATTGAATCCCTAGATTAATGATATGTTTACTATGTATTAATTAATTTTTATATATTAACTAAGAATCTTTTTCTGTAATGAGTTTTTTAATAATTTTTTAATTTTATTTATCATAATTATTTATTAATTATATTATATATTTTTTAAATAAATTATTAATAAATAAATATAATATTATGTTAAAATATAAATTATTTATCATAAATATATAATATAATTTATGTGATTAAAGGTATTGTTTATATAAAATTTAAATATAGTTTATATATTAAATATAATATTATTTGTATATAACATATAATAAATATTTAATATAATGCACATGTTAAAATATTAGATATAAAAAGTAGGAAAAAATTAAAAATTTTGTTTAATTTTTTTATTATAAATTGTTTAGTATGAAAATCTATGCGTTAAAGGTTCTTTCATTATGAAATGAAATCTTAGTCATTTAGTCTCAATTAACTTAAGAGGGAGGGTGAATTAAGTTTTCTAAATTTTCCTTTTATAAAAACTTTTCTGAGTTACTTTCTTATCAATTTATTTCCTTAGACAAATTTGTATATAAAGAACAAATGATGATGCAAACTACACAATTACAATTAATAACAAGAAATTAAAAGTGTAAGGAAAGAAAAATTGCAAACTTGATTTTATACTGGTTCGGCCAATCCTGCCTACATCCAGTCCTTAAGTCTCCCACTTGAGATTTCCACTACTCTTGTAAACCTTACAAGAATTGAATCCTTCAACACCTCGGAACTCCCTTTCCTTGTGTTGAGATTCAAACACCAACAAGGAGAAAAACCCTTTCTCCTTTACAGATCCAATGATCTATTGAGTTTTACAGAATGACTCTCTTGAAGAGTGGATATTACACTTTTATGATCTTAAAGAACTCTTTAGAAATTTTGCAAATGACTTAGGCCAAGTAGATTTTGTAAATGATTTTCACAATAGAGTTCGTCACTTTTCTCTGAAAAATTATAGGTATTTATAAACAATTGTTTCTTGGGTTATGTCTTTTCATGAAGAGTTGTAACTCTGTATAATTTTTTAGAAAATAGGCTCTAATAATCGATTACAAGACTTGGTAATCGATTACAACGGTTTAAGTTCAAAATGTTTGAAACGTTGTATAATTTAAATTCAAATTTTGAAATTTAACTTCTTGTAATCGATTATAATGACTGGTAATCGATTACAATGACTGGTAATCAATTACCAGAGAGCATTTAACATTTCAATTTTGAACATAAAATTTTTCATCCTCTGGTAATCGATTACTCACAACGCAAACTCGAAGATCGAGCCATGTAGTTCCTACGTGGCTTAAACAAGCAATATAGCAATGTTCGATCACACGTCTTGCTTATGGACCCCATACCTGCAATCTCGAAAATATTTTCTTATGTTGCACAACAAGAACGACAACTATTTGGTAACAGTTTCATGACAAATATTAATGTTGAATCTAAAGAAAGTTTGATTAATGCTATAAATTCCACCTCCTCAATTTGTAACTTTTGTGGAAGATCTGGACACACATAGAGTGTTTGCTATAGAAAACACGGGTTTCCTCCCAATTATGACTAATCTCCTTCAAAAGTTTGAAAAATATCAAATAAATAGATATTTCTTCTGAACTTCAATTTTATACATACAATAATTTAAACATATATAATTTTATTTTATTATAATAAAATTTTTAACTTTTAAAATATACTATTATTTTTTAGATAAGAAAAAATATACATATTATATAAAATTGTAAAATGATAGTGAGACGAGTACCCCCACTATATTTTACTGAGATCCGACCAGCCAATATATAGTCTATCATATCAAGTAATATTCAATATCAAATACTAACAAAATAGAATGAGAGAGAGAGGTGGATATATAGTATAATAGTATGAGCACACGAATGAAGAAGAGTTCAAAGAGATTATGCTATGAACACACGAATGAAGAAGAGTTCAAAGAGTGATTGCTTGAACGTAGCATCTAATACCGGAGGCTACAACTAGTTTACGTGACTAATTCAGTTGACTAGTTTTGTTTTATTGAGTGACCAACACCAGGACTGTGACCAGGATCTGTAGGTATGAAAACATCATGACTCTTAACTATACCACCTTCTCTTTCAAGTCTTTTACTTGTGCATATTTTCGGTGACCAACCCCGGGGCTGCACTTGCTTAAGAAACAAGGACGGGTTTCAATTTTCACGACATAAAGTCACCACTAAGATTACTTTACTTTCATAAGTGTTGATCCAAATGAACATACCTTCTTATCTCAACAGCAACTAATTAATTATCTTGTATTCTGTTATGATTAGATAATATTCTGTTTCAATTACTGCATTATGATATTTTCTTATTCTGTTATAACTACTGCATTCTGGTATTCTCTTTGCTGTATATAAATTGGTACTCATTCATTAATAAAGTATGCTGTTGATTGGTCATTTGCTATTTATACTTTTCTTCTCCTTCGATGGATCTGTTTATTTTTGTTATGGTATTAGAGCTCTTCGTATGAAGAGTTCTACTGCGCACTCAATCTTCCTTCTCCATCTTTCAATTATTACTTTCATTCTTTCTTATCAACAATGAGTGGGGTGAGTGAACAAACACCTAGCAATGACAGTTTCTTATACCTCCATCCGAGCAAGAATCCAGCAATTGCTCTCGTCTCCCCAGTTTTAGATTCAAATAACTATCATTCATGGAGCAGATCCATGATAACTGCCTTGAGTGCTAAGAATAAGGTAGAATTTGTGGATGGAAGTGCCCCTGAACCACCCAAGACAAATTGAATGCATGGTGCATGGCGTCGCTGCAATAATATGGTCGTTTCTTGGATTGTTCATTCAGTGTCCATTTCAATTCGACAAAGTGTCTTATGGATGGATAATGCAGAAGAAATTTGGCGTGATTTGAAATCCCGATATTCGCAAGGAGACCTCCTTCGGATCTCAGATCTTCAGCAAGAAGCATCATCAATGAAGCAAGGTGATCTCTCTGTCACTGAATTCTTTACAAAATTACGCATTATATGGGATGAAATAGAAAATTTCAGGCCCGACCCTATCTGTTCCTGCACTGTGAAGTGTTCTTGTTTTGTTCTTGTCACCATTGCACAACGCAAACTCGAAGATCGAGCCATGTAGTTCCTACGTGGCTTAAACAAGCAATATAGCAATGTTCGATCACACGTCTTGCTTATGGACCCCATACCTGCAATCTCGAAAATATTTTCTTATGTTGCACAACAAGAACGACAACTATTTGCATTATTTATCTCAAAATGTATTACATATATCCTGAAAATCTTTCTTTCAAGTTTTGTGAATTAAATTTGAAAACTCCTTCCTCACAAGTTTTATGGGTGAAACCCTCATTCACAAGTTTTATGGGTGAAACCATTTTTTCTTAAATTTTCTAACAAAACTTGAAAACTCTCATTCACAAGTTTTCTAATGAAACTTGGAAACTCTTTCATATGACATCCTCTCTCATTTAAGGCAGTAACCCTCTCTACAAGTCAGATGATTCTTCTCATATTAAAAGTCTATATTTATTGACCTTATATCATAATCTTAAAAGAGGAAACAAATCTCTAAAGTAAATACAATATATTTCAATTCTAAATAATATCCTAAAAGAATCATTATCTTTTAAAATTTAAATAATATCTCAGATATTTAAATTTAAAAATTTAAATTGTTTTCCCAACAATTCCTCACACAATTAAGATTTTCAAATTTGACCTTGTTGTCATAGATGTTTGACACAATCATCTTCAATCATACTTTTACTCTGCATTATTTATTGGGTATTGAAATCGTTGTATGTCAATCTTCAATACTCAAGTGACAAGTCACCAAGTTCCATGAACCATGAGCTTTGATACCACTATTGAAAACAAAAAAAATCTTTTTTTCTTTTACGCATAATTATAATGATGAAAAATATATTAAAATAACACCATAAAAGAAATAGGAAAAGATCACACAAATTTATTTAACATGGTTCAGCCCCTCATGCCTACGTCCACAAGGATGTTCGTTATTTATCTCAAAATGTATTACATATATCCTGAAAATCCTCCCTTCAAGTAGGGATGACAACGGGGCGGGGTAGGTACGGGTTTCATGATACCCGTCCCCGTCCCCGCAAGTTAAACTCATCCTCATCCCTGTCCACATACCCATCGGGTATAGATTTTCATCCCCATCCCCGTCCCCGTCGGGTATCGGGTATACACGTACCCGTACCCGTACCCGTCAATTTTTTTATTTTTTATTTTTTGTAAAAAACAATGATATTTTATATTTTTTTATTATATTATAATTATAATTAGGTTATTTCTTTATCTTATATTATAATAAATAATCATACATAAAAAAAAATTTTTTAATATAATTAAATTAAAAGTGGGTATTAAATTAAAAATGGAAATAGGGACGGGTACGGGTACGGGTACGGGGCGGGTAAGTACATACCCATACTCGTACCCGTACCCGATTTAATATATCGGGTTTTACCCGTACCCGTACCCGTACCCGGTCAAACCGGGTATTCCCCGTCAAAGTCGGGACGGGTTCGGGTATTACCCGCGGGTACGGGTATATTTGCCATCCCTACCTTCAAGTTTTGTGGGTTAAATTTGAAAATCCTTTTTCACAAGTTTTACAAGTGAAACTTGAAAATCCTTTCCTCATAAGTTTTCTAGCAAAACTTGAAAATCCTCATTCACAAGTTTCTTAGCGAAACTTGGAAACCCTCCTT